CGAGAGACGACTTCTGTTCAAGGTTGCTGGAGTTAAAAGGGAATGGCACTGAATTTCATATCTGGAACATGAGATGAAAAGATCTGGAACATCCTGTGATGTCAAAGTAATGTCCATCTCACCTGCATAAAAAAAAAACTCCAATGCCCACCACTCCCCTTTTGACACACCAGTTAATGTCACTGGATCTGGATTTGTATTTGAATCTGCACCACATAGCACACACTAAATATCAGTCCTTAAAATATGCCTGAATTATTTCATCAAGATCAATGAATTAATCTGAGATTTGAAATGAAAATGTTGAAAAACGCCCTCTATCTCACAATGGTAAAAAGAGTAGGAAATAAAATCCTGGATCTGCCCACTGATCCAAAGCAGCAAAATATGTAATTGCTTTTTTCCTGATACAAACAGACAAGTGTAATATTACTGTTTTTTTCATCACGTTATTTCAATATTGTGTGTGCGCAATATTCCATATTACTCACTGTAACATTTGTGTTAGTTTCACTGTCTCATGTTGCTTATTTCATTCTCATTTCTATTGTTATTTCTATTTGGGCATTCTATTTCTATTCTGCATTACTCTGTATACACTTAATATTTTCATTTCATTTGCAATATATTTGATATTTTATTTTAACATATTTTTAATAGTTAATAGCCTATTGTTTAATATTATATATTGTAAATACTGTAATTTTAGAGCAAACTGGCACAAGAATTTCCTTCGGGATTAATAAAGTCTAATCCTATTTTATAAACAAACACAGATGAAAACAGGCGGAGGTAAAAACATCAGGAGAGGAGGTAGATGTTGCTCTGGCATTGGAATGAACTGCACATCAGTGAATTTATTTGAAGCCGACTCTTCAACTTTAACAAAGTTTATTCGAATGCAAAAGCTGAACTGATCAGGACTGTTGTCTTGATTGACTGTTGGATAGATCTGGGGATTTTGTTCTTTGTTTTGAAACTCTCCAGAGAGACATTTAATTGCTTCTGAGAGCAAATTCATTTGTAATTTAAGGTTTAGTTGAAAAGTTCAATCGCTGGAAACTGAGTTTGAAGTACAGAGGAGAGGATGGATTTATTTCCCACTGGATGTTCGAGGGTTCATTTCTGCAAGAGAGCAGCGCTGTGTCGCTCTGCCAAATCAGAGGCATGTCGCCGTTAAAAGGAAGGAGAGCGAAGGCAGCCAAAATCAGCATGATGGGATATTGACTCTTGGCTTGTAATTTCATTTTATGCACCAAGTGGCAAACAAGATATCACACTGTTCATAATCCTCAGTGTCCCTGAACACACACACACCTCCCACAGACTCCTTCTTGTTATTAACAGGGAATCTAAAGCCCTATGTACATCTCTATGTGGGAGGACAGCTTCGGGACTGGGGTGTTAACACCAGGACTTGCACCTGAAGGGGTAGAGTCAACACACACACACACACACACAGAAGCACACTGGGGAACACATACTTGGTTGCCCCACTAAGTCCCACCACGTCTGACATATGTCACTCCCAATCTGTTCAGCAGGCCACACATCTCTCCAGTGAGCCACTGCCGCTGTGGCACAGAGAGTGGCAGAGGGGGAGAGAGAGTCGGGCAGAGCGAGCTGGAGACTGAGTGAGAGGGCACAGAGGGACAAAGACAGCAAGAGAGAGAGACAGGAGAGCATGAAGGAGGCAGAGAGCTGCTGCTGCTAAATGATACTTTGAAAACAACACCATCTGTTCTTTGAGAAAGTCAGATGCACGGTCTAAAGCGATGCCACCAATCATGAATACATTTACAAGCAGCCAATGAAAACTCATCAACATGCCCCAGGCTTCATTTAACACAAAAATCCTGCAGGAAGTCAGGTACACAGGCGTCTGTCACATGGTGAGGGACATTGAATCTACAGGATAGTCCCAGGTAACTGTGATGATGAAGACGGTGAAGAGCGACATCAGTCAGACAAAGATGTTTGTGCATGAAGGGATACTTCAAACATCACAGAATCCATCTGTAACCAGCGTCTGTAACCAAACCAACGTCTTAGGCAAATAGACAAATGGAAGTGGATTGCCATCATGTGGTTGAGTCATGCAATTGCACCAGAAATTCTGAAAGAATCCTCTCACTTCATTCACAAAAACATAATGTGACACCTCTTTAGAAACATAAACATCAATAAGCTGCAGGAAACTGTGCAGAGCTGCTAGATTCTCTTACACAGTCCTTCACCTCCTCCACTCAACATAACAGGGGTTAGGGTTAAACACAGAGAGAACAACTGTACTGGACAGTAAAATTGTACCATGTTTGTTTACGACATTTACAGTGTATTGTTTTGTATTTATTTCTCAATTTTGTTTATAGAGTTTTAAAAATGTAATGTATGTCTTGAAGGACAATTGAGTTATGAACCTTCAACCTTTTGAATTCAGCTTGATGCTGTTTAATCCTAAATTTAATATTTTTTCCAGGAAATTCATAACAGCACTCTGAAACCAGTTTTTTACTGAGCAACAGCGCTTGTGGTGATTCTGTTGGACTCCTTCTCTGAGTGATAAAGTTGTTTTTCAAGTAGAGAGAAAATAAAACCTTTCAATCTCTTGACCAAAGCTCTGACTGTGTAGTTCTACTTCTTGAATGGAAACACAACTTCATGGTGGATATTCCTCATAATCCCTGGTTTCCTGAACTAGAAGAGCTGCAGCTGTGACAAAAAAACACCAAACCTTCAAGTTTCCTCACTGAATATCGGGGATAAACACTATTTTTAAATGAAGTCTTTTTAACTGATCTACAGTTCATGAACTTGCTGGGCCTGATATTGGCAACTGAAAATACAATTATCAGTCAGTTACGCACTTCTAACTGGGAATCGTACCCTCTCATTAAAGCTACATAGAGCAAGAACGGGCATTCAGGATGAGGAGTGGGAATTAAAACCATCAAACTAATTTTGAAACTTCTATTTTAAGGTTAAAAAAAGTTGCATAGTTTTGCTTTAGACTAAGGGTGGTTACAACACAAGACAACATGTGGAGCACTATTATGCCTCCAGAAGTCCTGATTTAAAATGTGTTTTTATTTTCATTAAATGATTTTAAAAAAGGCAGAAAATGAGGTGTAATAACCAACTAGTCACAGCAGAGGAAAGTTGCATCAGAAGCTCTTAACAAATAAATGAATCTATACAAGCATCAGCTGTACCAGAAAGTATAAACCAGATCCTCTTGGGATTCCAGGCACACAGCTCGATGCTATGACCATGTTTTACATCGCCAATCTGTTACAGTGGGATCTCCCCTGCTTCAATCCCATGGATGATTAAGCACGATAATTAAGGTTTTTGGACATTTTCCACAGAGGAGCAGACGTGGCAGCTGGTGACATTCATGCATTCCCAAACACAGAGGAGGGAATTACAATGAGGCCTCCATTCATTTCAGTGATCACAAAGTCTGCTCCTGGCACCAGCTCAAAAACAGTCAAGCTGTTGTTGAAAAGGACTATTTGCAGCCCTCTTTGTTGCAATGTAGGCAATGTACCTTGATCTATTTGGGGAATTAGAGAAGCCATATAGCCAAATATTTGGATTCATCCAGCAGGGGCACTCACTTCCTCATTTCACTAACTTGGCATGACACAACGTTAAAGATTCACAACTGCTTTTATAGCTTGAGTTTAGTTAGTGTGATGTGAGTTGAGCTAAGTCAAATAAATGAACTGTGAAATCAAAGAGTCAAAATCAGAGACAGTAGCTATTACGAGACATTTAACTTCAAATGTTCCTTTAATATATTCTAAGGATCTATTCTAAGAAATAGTATTTATATAAGGTCACACAAATACCACAGTCACATGGGTGATGAATTAAGAAAAATATGCATCCATATGAAATTGGAGATTCACAACATCCAAAACATCCTTACTGATTTAACTAGAATGGCACAGAGCACATACTTCAAGGTCATGGCCCAACAGTCCACTTAAATTTAATCAGGCTGCACCAAACTGAACAAAGTCATAGCAGTTCCCTCGAAATGCCTGATTTTTAAAATCAAGATCCAAGGAAATCAGTAGAAAAATGCCCTATTTTTTAAATGTTGAAAAACAATATATATATAAAAATTTAATCCTGGATCAGCCTCTTTATCAAGATTCACACCAAAATTGAAGGGGTTCTTTTTTGGTCCATGTCCCATCCTTCCAACAAGATTAGTGGAAAACCCTTCAGAAGACTTTGTGTAATCCGGCTGACAAACAAAAACTGACAGGGACCAAAAAAAATCACATCCGAAAGAGGTCCTGGTTTCAGTCACACTCGAAAAACTAAGATTTCCACACTCGATGATAAAACAACGTTCACACAAGAGACAGAGGCTGTCTCAGTATTTTCATCTTTTATCTCTCGATCAATTAATAGCCCATATTCACAAATCACAATTTGTCTCAGAGAGAAGCTTTATGGAATCTCAGAGTAAAAGTGTAAATCAAATGTAAATCAAACATCAAGCAAACAATGACACAGCAATTTACTCAGGATTGATTGTGATTGTCGATCACTGAGGTGAGAGATAGACAGCATTTCAGCAAAACTCCGAAGTACAACGTTATTCAGCAGCGCACAAATCCAAACAATCCTACACATGATTGTCTAGTTCTTATTGTAGAGATATAAAGTGTACAATTAATAATAGCAGAAAAATAACTCCTGGATCAGGATCATCCACAGCCAAACTAAAATATAATGAGTTCCTCCCTGAAACAATGACTCCAACAAGTTTGATGGGATTCATTCTGGTAGATTTTGACACAGAAATAAACAAACATCCAGACCCGTGTAGAAACACAAGCTGCTGGCTGAGATAACAAACTGTACCTCCAGCTCTGAAGCACCAAAGTGCAACGAGACTAAAGTTGTCAGTGAAGCGCCTCAATTTCCCAGAATGCATTCCTGAAGCGGAAACAGCGGGGGGGGGGGGYGGCGGGCTCGGAGGAGGCGGGCTCCATGGAAACGGCAGACCGGCGTGCTAGCACAGAGAGTAGCACGGTTAGCTAGCTGTAATCCTGGATGTGGATGAACATCGATGTTCGCTGACTCTGTTTATTTCACCGCTTCTCTGTGAAGATGAGTCGGACTCCGGATGCGAGAGCGAGGTAAGAGCGGTTCTGACCGAACCTCCGTCAACCGGGAGCGAGTGCTTTGTAAGTTAACGTTAGCAAAGAGAAACACAGCTGCAGAGAGGACACAGGTTAGCTAGCTTTAGCTCACGTTATGTGTATTTACACTACATGTAAATATAACTGTGGACGAGTTGTTGTTCAGGGAGTGTCCCCCTCTCACCGGTTAGGGAATGAAATGTTTGGGGTCATCAACAATGAGTAAATGAAAACAAACGGTGCCTCACATCTTGGGACTGAGCAGAGAAACAATATCAATACACTCTATACATCAGTAGCAGGATAACAAGAGTTCAACATATATATGAATATCTTCATGTTGCTCATGCATTGTGAAAGCAGTTAAGAGGATCTACCTCTGATGTGCAAAATGTTTATACTGCGGGCAAGTGAGCAGACGTTCGTCTTTTCCTGATTTCAAGTGCGCCCGTATTACAGAATGTATGGCAAATGCAGGTAGTCCATGATACGGAGCGAGCCAATCTTTTCTGCTACTGTAAAATCCCTTTATTCCATAATTTCTGACAAAGGTTGTAAAAGTTGTCCTCAGGACCATCCCGCCTGTTCACTCGCTCAGTATCAAGCATATTTACTGTTTCATTTTGGAGAAATAATAATAAACCAGTTAAAACTACAACCTTCAATCTGGAGCAAAACTCAGTCCTTAAACTTAAAAGAAATATTGATGTGAGATTCATCGTGATGATATTTGACCAATTTTTTTTATTTATTTTATCTTTATCCATGTTCGGCCATATGACCCTGCCCTATCACAGCCACAAGTTTTTTTTAAAGCTTTGGTTATGTTTTGGTTATTTGTTCAAGATGTTATCTATATAATTATATATGTCTTATTGTAAAATATTGATCTTTCCTACATTTTCATCACCACACAAGCACGTCCGTGTCCTCTCACAGCTAAACAACAGTTTGGTTACTAGTGTTCTTGTTGTCCTCCACCCTCCACAGGGACAACCAGACAAGACAGATCCAGGAGAACATCACCAATGTGGAGAAACATTTTGGAGAGATGTGCCAGCTGTTTGCTGGTTACGTGCGTAAAACAGCCAGGCTACGTGACAAGGCCGACCTTCTGGTTCGTGAAATCGGCCTGTACGCAGACACTGGAACACCAAATCTGAAGAGGGGTATGAAGCAGTACGCTGACCACCTGGCCAAGATTCAAGACTACCGCCAAGCTGAGGTAAAACTACAGGAGCTTACTTCCTTAATAATTTCCTGCTTACAGCCACAGTCTGAATGTGTTGAGGAAGACATAAACTAACATGAACTATTCTGCCTTGCAGGTGGAAAGACTTGAAGCCAAAGTCATAGAGCCATTAAAGAGTTACGGAGCTGTTGTGAAACGTAAAAGGGTAATTGTTTCTGTCAGCCACAGCCATGTCGACATCTACACTGATTCCAAATGAGCCAAGGGACAATAACAGAGCTTAAACCATCCATGCAGTTTCCCTAACTTGTGTTTCAGTTACATCCAGATCACTGTATTGCAAGATTAAACGTGTCCTGGCCTAGAAGGGTGTAGTGATTACGTCAATCTAAAAAGAGGATATACAGTAACTGAGGACATAGTTGGGATCACACTGTCTTCGTCAGTACCACTGTGTGGCCACATGAGTGCAGTGTTGTTGTAATGATAATGTCCCAATCCTTCACAAACCATTCTTTATGAGCATCAACCATATTCAATACCATACAGAATATCAGGTTTCCTTGTGACAATTGTAATCTCTGTTACTCAAAGCAAACTACTGCATTCAGTTTTGACTGTGCACTTGTCATATATGGATTTGTCAGATTTCATATCGCATGGCCAAAATCCATACAAGTACTAAAGTAACTTTTCATTAAAGTCAATGCTATTTACTTTATCTTTCGATCCATTTGCTTAACATTACAATCTGTTTAAGAAATTTGCACAACAGGGTGAAGTTGAGGACATGATTGAGAAACTCTGAGGTTAACCAAATAGTTTGAATTAAGTTCTTGGAATCTAGATCAGCGTCACTGTTCATTTTCATAATGGCTACTGTGTTCTTGTGATTCCATGCAGGAGGATCTGAAGACGACTCAAAGTGCCAGAGACAGAGAAGCCAAACAGATGGCTCAGCTCGAGAGGACCAGACAGAGGAACCCCTCAGACAGACAGATCATTGTATCCTTCCATTGTTCCTCTTCTCGTCTCTCAAAACCAAAACATAATAATGTTATAAAAGCTATTTATATACATTTTAGTGCAGGGGACATCTTGGATACAGATTAACTCGTTGGTTAGTTATTGATATTAATTAATGTTTAAACAAGGAAATAAAGTTGTTTAAAGTTTATCATGTCAAGTTTAAAAAGGCTTACACAACATTTCTTTACTTAAGATTTACTTGGTTCAATAATAGTATGCAGTTCACGACCAACCTTTAAGAATTGAACAAATGTAAAAAACAGAATTATTTTCATTTTTCCTTGACCTAGCCTTCAGTCTCAGGTGTGTCCCATGAAATCTGTGCTTCTCATCACTGGTGATGAATGACTGCAGAGATGACACACGTTTCAGACTTAAAATGGAAGAAAAACAAGTCCAACAGAAACTTTTGAAGGATAGTTGGTTGTAAATTGCAGTGACAGCCCCAGATTTCTTTCATTACTTTTTATTAATAAAGTTCATCGTAGGAGTGACTTGTAACTGACTCACATGCTTGTTTTCCACAAGAGGCAAGTGTTTAGTCATTGCCCGACCAGTTCTACACATCAACCTGCATAACCTGTAGGAAGTGAAAGTACTAACAGCAACTCATTTTTGGGCCTCATGTTCTCTGTGTGTATAAATTGTTGTTAAATTGCATGTTTGCAGAAAATAGTATAAATCTGATGGTAGTGCAATTTTACTACTGGATGATACTGGCCTGATGCAGCTGCTTCACACTACAAACTACCTTACACATCACGTACTAATCCCCTCATGAAACAGATAAACTGTATAAAGTGATGTTGTTGGATTCTAAATTTTAGACATTAATTGCGACACACATGCTTTTTACCTTTGATGCCTTTTTGACACAGCCTGTTGTGTTTTGAAGTATTTTCTTCTGTTTTGCCACCAGGCTGAAAGTGAGCTCCAGAGAGCCACCATGGACGCCACGCGGACAACCAGGCAGCTGGAGGAGACCATAGATGAGTTTGAGAAGCAGAAAATCCGGGACATTAAGGTCCGCTGTGCTAAACCTTCTGTCCACCTCAAATTAAGAATTACAATTTCTATTGGGTTGGGAAATACACGTCTATTCAAGCAGCAAGTGACAGTGAAGTGAAATCAGACAATGACTTAAGACTGCTTATTCCAGTTGTTATCTCATTTCTCATGTGTGATTAGTTTCTTCAGTACTGAAAGATTATACTTTTCTTTACCTTTCATATAGAAAATATTTGGCGAGTTTGTGACAGTGGAGATGTCATTCCATGCCAAGGCCTTGGAGGTCTACACCTTGGCCTACCAGAGCATTCAGAGTGTCGACGAGGAGGAGGACCTGGAGGTAGGTTGCCCTCTCATTTTCCCCTTTGACGATGTTTGCGTGTAGGAAAATCTGAGATGAAATTATTCAGAAAAGGTTTGTGTATTTAAGTGTGTCACTGAACTGTCTTTATGAACACCCTCTGCCTTGTACTCAATTAGCCTCACGGTTATTTAAGATAAAGCTATCTCACACACCCTTTACTCATCACATTCTTGTGTTCTCTGTAGTCCACACCCTCTATCTGATGTGGTAACTTTTAAAGTAACCTGTGACAACTGCTGCACAATTCATAGTCATACTAGCTACTGTCCTTCTCTGTGTTTACAGCCTGGTCTGAGAGGTTTGCTAAACTATTTAAGAGATAAAGCCCGTAAACGATTGATGATATTCAGTGAGCAAGGTTCCTCCAGCAGATGCCCTTGTGCTATTTTCCTCCACCCCTTGTCAACTCATCTGTGTGTTTTTGCACTGAATCATCTCCCTTTCATTCATATCGAAGCGAAACTCCTCACCCAGCCAAGGCTGTTTGTCAGTGACTCATAGCACAAAGCATGGCAGATTGAATCATCTGAAAAAAACACAATGACAGGCATGAAGATAATCCTGATCAAGAGCCTGTGCGGAGTTTATTGTATATTTAGTGAAAACCATTGGAGGGGTTTAAACTGCAGTTTGGCTGTGTTGTCGGAGATGCACCTAAAGAGCTTCTTTGTTGACATGTGACCAAAGCTGATTGTCAGCCAGGTTATTGATTTGCTGCAGAGTATTTCCTTTGTGTTTTTTCTCCTGAAACTCTCAGTTGTTTATAAGTGTAACTTAAAATAGTCAAATATTATAAAAATTAAAATCTTAATGTGATTTTAGCATGTTTCCTTTTAGCACGTACATATGCAGCATATGAATTGTACGCTGGGTCATCCCTGTTGCATCACAATGTTTAATTTAAGTTGTGACACATTTTACCTTTATCAAAAACTTGCAGCTCCTGTGATTTGGATTTTGCTCTTGGCCACATTTTTATTTCATTATTATCTTTGATTGATTTAAAATAACTTTGATTTATATAGCACCTTTCATGGTGTTTAAGGCCACTTTACAGAGTTGTTGAGCCCAACTACGTATATGCGCTGTATATTGCCATTCTTCTGCATCTCTGTGGAAAAGTCTCGAGCCTCCCACTGTCTTTGGCAGGTGTTCAGGAGCTCACTGCACCCCCCTGACTACCAGTCACGCTTAGACATAGTGCGAGCAAATTCCAAAACCTCCCTCGATCGGACCAGCTCCTTCCTGAGCACGTCAGGAACCTTACAGGTAAGATGCAGATGATGACAGTCGACACTAAAACTAGAATTTCCCCAGAAGCTCCCTCTTCAACTATGTTTCTACTAGGGCTTTTTTTCTTTTGACAGTTCCAAGTTTCATCTTAATGACAGCATATTAAAAAATCGTCCTCTTTTGAACCCAGTAGTTTCCTCATACCAGAAGACACTGGTTCTCGATAACAGCAAGTCTTATCAGGGCTGCCATCACCACAGCCATCCTTCAGCTAGAAATTCCCCATGTTATGGCACGGCACACTCTTCACGCATTTCTTCATACATTCATCACCACCGCATTTTAACATTTTGGGTAATTGTGCTTACTTGGAAATCACCACAGGTATCACTTGATATTGCTAAAGAGCTGTCTCCTGTAGGTCTCACAGGGTGTTTTCAGATGAAGTATCTTCTATCTAGAGATGTTCAGATTCTAGATCGCAGGCAGTTTGCAATTTACACCAGACATCAGAATGTGAAACTGGTATCACTACTAAACAAAAACAAACTTGCACATGGCTAGAAAAGCAGATATAAGATGATATGAATTGATATGAGCAGTCAGAGACACAGCCAGATCGCACTAAATTAAAATAAAAGGCAAATGTAACCTGAATAGTCTGGTGTCACTTTGTCTTGCAGTGTGTTCACACTGTGTTGTCTTTGCTCTTCACGAAAACCTCTTAGCAGGAAAAAAGATTCCACAGAATTCCACAGTCGTAACTCCTGACTGTTCTAATCTGCTGAGTGATCTTTATTGATGGTTTGTTTGTTGTCACAGCAACAAAGAACTTCCATTCAGCAGACAAGAGATGAGGAAGAGGAAGAGGACAACGACGAGGATGAAGAGGAGTCTGATGAGGACGAAGAGGACTCAGACGATGATGATTAAATTGTCATTTTTTGCATTTTTCATTACGGAACAAAAGGGATATCAAATCATGTACCAACTGAAAAAGCTGTCATTGCCAAAATCCCCTGTCGCAGGTGGTCTGAGCAGTATTGTAGTGGTGTTGTGTTATAGCTGTGTGATGCTCTGTAAGAGAGCACGTTGTTCTTTCCAGCCAGTTTTTGTCCTCGCTATATTTTTATATCTCACACATTAACAAACCGTGCATTATATAGTCACGCATCTTTATAAATAAAAGAAATTCAGTTTGTTATGTTCTGCAATGTTCCAGTGATTTTTGTGTTCTATAATAAGTACATGGTGTGCGCTCAGTCACTTTGCATGAAAAAGGCCAGCAGAGTGGCTGATGGTTATTTGCAGAAATTGTTCGGAGTGTGAATTGGTCTAAGTGATGGTACGTGATGGTCTGCGGCTGAAAGTGACTCATCTTGAATACAGACGTGCAAAAGTCAGAGGCATTTTGCATTATGCTGTCTGTGTTTATCGGTATATATAGTGTATATATATATGTGTGTGTGTACTTATATCTTTATGAGGGATGTTTTGAGCCTAGACCTTACGGACTGAGGACATTCTGGCCTTTTCAAAGGGCTGTTTAAGGATTAAGACTTGCTTTTAGCTTTAGGGTTACATTCAGGTTAGTGTAAGGGCTGGGGTTAGGCATTTGATTGTGATGTTTAAAGTTAGAGTAAGGGGCTTTGGGAATGCCAATGAGTGTCCTCACTAAAATAGAAGTACAAGAATATGTATGTGTCCTCGTTTTTGTTACCTCTTTAGGACCCTTTCCTGCATGAACACTGACCTTATCAGGACCAGTAGATCTCATACCTATGCTTGGTCCTGAGGCAAAACATAATTTCTGAGATCTAGTTAAGGTTAGGCATTAATAAGTCCCGGTTAACGTTTTAGTTAAGGTGTCCACAATGACTGGAAGTCAATGCAAAGTCCTAAAAAGGATAACGGTGTGTGTGAGACTGTAGACACACTTCTGTGTTTGTATGTGTGTTACAGAATGTGTTGTCTGCCACAGTGTAGGCTGCTGCCACTGTCAGCTGATGGCTCCTATGTCTGTCTTGCATGAGTCACTCTGCACATTTATCATTCCTCAGTTTCCCATGTTATGATGGATTCTTTTCTGCCCCTGGAAACAAACACACACACACACAGATACATGCTGTACACATCGCATTACAGCTTCATACCATAATCTGACAAACAAACGATGCGATCACATTTACACGTGTCTTAAAAGAGTCATCATGCAACCAACAAGTCTTTTCTTATCAGATATGAGGGCACTGGCTATTTCAGTGACTCTTGAGATAAAAGCTTTGTAGGTGGTGTGTCATCAACTCTCTGCTCAACACCACCTTAATGCATGTAAAGGTTAATGTGTATGCAAACACACACTAGCACACACTCGTGTACCAGTTTGACTCCAGTGTGCTGCTGATCTGAATGGCCTGTGTTCCAATGAGTCATCACCTATAAAGTGTGTGTGTTTGTGCCAGCGAAGTGAGTCAGAGAGCTTTTCTGAATGCAGATAAACCTACAGGCTCCACTCCCTGATCACAGAGCAGAGGAATAGAGAAACGGGTTTGAAAGAATCAAAGAGTAATGAATGTAAAAGCAGAGGGGTTAAAAAAAGAAAAGGCCAACCCATAATGTTAGCCAAGAGTTAAAAGTATAAAGGGAGACAGGACGTGGTGACTCATTGACTGTTAAAAACAAAAGCTGAAAAACAAACAGGGATACCCATGCAAGGAACCAGATGTGGAGAGAAACGAGGAGGAGGAGTAGAGGGACAGTTGAGCGAGGTCAGTCTTTACCACAGGTCCTTATCATTGAGTCTGACTCATTGCCCCTCAGCGTCACATCGCTCAAATCACATTCAGCTCCTGCAGCACACGCCAGCCTCATGCAGCTGCTTTCATATGCAGAACCTTTCCCCTGAGCCCAGTGTCACTGATCTTTGCCAGAAGCGAGAATAAAAAAACTTGGTGTCACAGGTTTTCATTCTTTGAGAATCAAAATAAATGTGGAAGGTTTTTTAAGCTTTCACCATTAAATGGAACCCGTCATTCCCTGTAGTAAATACAAATTAAAATAATGTATTTTCCAAGGTTTGAGAAAAATTTGAAAGGTCGTGGCACAGTTCATTTCCTGCAAGCCACCACCAGAGGGGGATGTTTAAAAGTTTTCTCACCTGTACTGAATAATTTGGGAAACTGAGCAATGGAAACATTGTGTTCTTTTCCAACCTGTGTGTGTGTTTGTGTGTGTGTATGTGCACGTTGCCTCTTATCATTTACCACTCAAAAGAAGCTGTCTGCATTCCGAAAGCCGCATTACTGAGATTTTAACTGAGACAAAAACATCCGGATGTTTTGTGCATTTTTTGGCATTTAAAACTTGATGACCAAAATGTTTTGCGTTCCACCTTCATGACAGAGCACTTCTCTGCAAACACCAAACACAGACTGACTGAGCCATGCTGGGTTTGCAGAGTGGTTCAGTCCCTTTGATCAATACTTGACATTCACCATATCAGTGCCTGAAAGAGCCAGTGCTCTGTATGTCTGCTTTGCCATTTAAGCTCTGTGAAACAGGTGGGGATTTGATTTTTCACCTCAGAGGCTGACGCAGATTTAGGACCATGTCCTGACTTGATAATTTATGTACATACCTGTCCATTTTTTCCTCCTCTTAAAGCTCCAGAAACACGCTCCTGTGAGAATGCACAGGGGGAGTGATTCATAGGTCAAATCTAATAGAGTCCGTATCTATGGTGCCGGACCTTATGATTGGTTCGTCTATTGATCTGGCACAAAGAGGTAAGGATTCCCTCCTCTCCTCCTCTGACTCATCTGCAGTCGGTCCCAGTGACGACTGTGCCTCTGTTTGTCTGAGTGAAGGAGAAGAGGCATGAAAGTGAGGGTGCTATTCGTATATGTGTCAGTGTAACTCTGATTTGTGCAGGCACATTTAGCCAGAGGAGATATTGTGTTCGTACACGTGTGTGCAGATGTCTATGTGAGTACATCAATATACTTATGTGTATATACAGCGTGTGAGTGCGTGGCAGAGACTCCTACAGTACCATTGTTTGGAATATTAAATACAGTGCCGTGCTGGCGGCTGTTATAAAATCGAGAGGCAGCATAGCCGGAGTGTGACTCACGCACTGACTCACTGACAGCACTGCCATTGCGTGTGTGTGTGTGTGTGTGTGTGTGTGTGTGTCTCACACTCACACTCAGTGATTCCTCTGGTGGACCCGCTGTGTGTTTCTGGAGTTCTAAGAACTCTGAACCCTGCCACATTCCCTGGATTTCACACCAGCAAACAAGGTTACGTGTGTGTGTGTGCATGTGTGTGTATGTGTATGTGTGTGTGTGTGTGTGTCTTGTTCCCTATAATCCCATGTTTGTTGCAAAAGATCCACACTGCACCAAGAGCTCCCAAATGTAATTTAACAGAGCCACCATTTCTCACCAAGTCTACAAAAGAGAACAAATGATCACAGAAACTACAAATAGAGGAATAGTACAGAGGAAAATAAGAAGACAATGAAAAGAACAAAAAAAACAATAAAAACACAAACTAAAGAAATAGAATACAAAGGGAGACACGCATGATTATTTAACCTTGGAGAGAAAATAAAAACCTTTTCATGAAATCTGTTAAGAGTAAGATTTGCTAATTTACTTGTTTGTTTAAACATTTACAAAAACTAGTTAATATCAACCTGTGTGTTTAAGCAAGGTTCATTTGAAACTGCACAAACCCTGTGTGTTTCCAATCCCGTGTTTGAATTACCAAGAGAGGAGACCTCGAGCTGCTGCGTGATGTCTTGCCAACATGTGTACAGTAACTGCTCGTGCTCCCATTTCTCTGATTTATGCACCAACATGAAAGCCAGTGTATCTGCTGTCAAGGGCAGTAACAGTCAACGTGCAGCATCTGTCCAGGACTCCAAGATCACAGGTACAAACCTAAATCAAGGGACGCCTGTGCTTTCGACACGTATACAGCATTTTAAATCTGTAAGTATATTGGCATGTGTCATCACTGTGCTGCTGTGCTCTGCGACAGTATATCATCTGATGGTGATAAAACCAGAGTGATTTCTTATTTACTTTCCAACGGCGGATAGTGGCGTCACTTGGATATCCCCCCTCGGCATAAATCACGTTTTGCAAAAAGAGAAGTGAGAAACCTGGTGTGTAAGTGTGTGTATTCTCCACAGACTGAGAATTTGGGTTATTTATAAGGTTATGTTGCCTTACAGTGTGCGTGTGTGTGTGTGTGTGTGTCTGCCTGCGTCATGTGCTGGACTTGATATCCAGGTTTGTCCTCATACTAATCTATCCCTCCCAGTGGCTGTTGTTAATGATTTCGAAATCATCTCAAAGGAATGGGAAGGAGTGAGACAAAGAGTGTGTGCTGTATGTGGGTATGTGTGCGTGCGAGTTGCATCTATGCATCTATGTATTGCGCAAGATGCTTATCAGACAGAGCTGTGCTGGGATCAGCGAGGAAGGCCTTGGCTCGAGCCTGTACGGGAGCCCACTGTCACCTCAGCCTCGTGTAGTGTGTATGTTTTGTGTGTCTGTGTGCGTTCACTAGCATCTGTGTGTATCCTGTTTTCCGTACCTCCCATCAGTCAGACGCCCGGTATCACTGGGTCGTTATTAGCCTGTTTGTGTAATGGACAACTTTTCTGCCAGGGTAGCAGAGAGTGTGTTTACAGTTGACCAATCACTTCCTAGTATAACACTGCACCGCTATCAGCCATTACCTGCAACCCATCAGCCTTATCAGTGCTACAGTTCATTACAGTTTCAAACTGCCTTTTATGAATCTGAACTGCAAAAACAAATCCTGAACCTTGGCCACACATCAATTTAACCCTCGACTGACCTGAGCAGAGGATGAGAAATATGTTAGAAAACCTCAAAACTACTGAGTCAGTATTGCTGCCACTTGCCACCTCTGCCACCTGCTCCTTCACAAAAATGTGAATGTACTGGAAGCAGACAGGACTGCAGACACCTGGTGCTTGTTTCCCAGTAACAGATCCTCATGTGAGTCAGGAGTGGAAGATGTCAGGCAGAATGACAAACAGCCAGAACACATGGTGACTCCTCGGCTTTATTGTTCATTTATTGCTCATTTTATGTTCACATTCGCCAAGACTGAGGCAACATAAGTAATAAAGTAAATACAGTTGACGTGCTGTGGCTCAGGAGA